CCTACCTGCAATTTCATTTTCGTATCTCCAAGCAAGCACGGCAAATTCACGTTGTTTCAACCACGGCTGAGGAAATAAATTCAAATGTATTCTGCGTCTGGTGGCACGGGATGATTGATACAGCCCCGTGCTGTCGTGTCTCTTTGTTCTGCCACAGGCAGTAATTCGATTACCCCAAGCGCAGCACCGACACCTCGCTTTGCAGCGCTCCCAACACAGGCAGCAGCGGCACGGCTCCTCGATTCCCCAGGGATGCTCTTCGCAAGCCGGGATATCCGCTAGCTGATACCGGTATTCCTGGGTGACTCCAGTTATGCTGTATCGGGGGATGTAGAAATAAAAACAAGAATAAAACTCTGAATGGAAACCAGGTGTGTGAGCACGCAAAGAAATCTCCAACTTTTACTATCTCATCACTTCTAACAGTATGGAAAAAATATCTCTCTATTAGCCTATAGGGGCAAGTGTACGGTGGACCAGCAATATAAGGTCGGGACTCAGAGCAAGGCAAGCAGTTAACTGGGAAAAACAAAATACGGTTATGCTCTAGTAACCTTCATTCAGCAGCCTCTTGAGGGGAAGGAGTTAAAAAGTCAGCTATCGTCACACATCTTTTGTCATCCTTTTATTATTTTCTTAGCACAGAACATTTTGCCCACCCTGAGTGGTGATACCCAGCCACTAACGGGGCAATTTATAGTGAAAACCGAAGAGGAAGGTCTGCTCTAATGGGGAGAGATCTGATAGCCTCTACTGATTTCTGGAGCTTTAATTCCTGGGGCCGGATGGGGGAAATAACAATAAAAATTCCTACTTCTCTGTGCAGAGAAAGAGAGCTCCCCAGGCTCTGTGCTACAGAGGAAATGGCATTTCGTAAATTAATGGCAGAGAGAAAGAGAGCTCCCCAGGCTCTGTGCTACATAGGAAATGGCATTTCATAAATTAATGTAAAGTTCAAAAATTCAGCAGGACATTGGCATATCAGGGCTGCCCGAATTATAGAGGCCATCGGTTTTCAGCACGTACCTTGGGCTCTGCTCTTCGCTGTCCTTCAGGAAGGAGCCTGCGGACTCCCGACTCGGCGTTTCTGGGGCTGGGCTCAGCCAGACTGCCTCCAAAGACCCTGAAGGCTCAGCTCAACTGAACTGAGGTTTTGTTTTTGCTGTTTTCAAGAGCAATGGAGAGATTGGCCTTTTGCACACACTAAATGTGAAATCAGAAGCCCTTAAACAGCTTGAATACGTAGTCATTTATTAAAGTAATAAAAAGTGGACTGGATAAAAGACAAACACATTTAAACCGAACAATTTTTGAAAGTTTAATATAGCTTTAGATAAAACTGAGCTTGCAGTATTAATGAATACAAGAGTTTGTTATTTTGTATAATTCAAATAAACTTGTACATTTATACAGTTATAGACTGCATGCCAGAAAATGCATTTAGTTTATTCTAATTTGAATATGTACAATTTACAATATAATTCAAGCATAAATTCAGCAGTAGAGAACACAGACCGGCTGTGCAATCAAACAATTACTTTTTCTTAGCGTAAGCGTTAGGGCTGGGCTAAAATGTTAATTAGGAAATAAAAAAGTGGCCACACCAATAAAAATGAAATATCAACCAGAAATAACTTTCTGAAATGAGTAACTAAAGAAAGTTATCATCCATGTTTGTACTTTCACTCTTATTAATGAAAGACGCATATATTGTCCCTTAACATTCGTAATGCATTGCAATACAAGCCACAAGCCTCAGAAATCTTGCGTCCAGCAAGGACAGGTGCATAATTTGATTTTAAAAAATCAAACTTTTCAGTTAATCATAACTTAACATTTTCTATGGCATTAATTTAATAAAAGTGAGGATACTTTCCCAGTGTTTCACATACTTTCAGATTTTTTTATACGGGCTACTGACTAAGCTGCAGCCGCTCAGATTGCCAGTACATTTTACAGCTATGGCACTTCTCCCTGTCACCCATTTTAAGTTCAATGCGTAGAACACATCCACACTGCTCCTACTTAATTCAACCTTGTACACAGATTCAACCCAAAGTTTCCCAAAGGAAAACGCCACTCGGCTCCCCCGAAGGCAGGGCTCTGCAGCCGCTGCACAGCCGCCCTGCCAGGGCACGGGAAGCCGGGAACCTTCCCCACGGTTTTCGGGAGGGAGGATGCTGGTGGCCCCGGGGCATGGCTGGTGAAACACCATTGCTCTTACTCTGGGGACACGTCGCATTTACTTTTCCATAAAGAAAAGTCAACCGGACCATGAGCCATCCCCCAAGCTTGGCGCTTCAGGTGGTGGGAGACCTGGGCAAAGATGGGCAGCCCCCAGGTGGGACCCCGATGTCCCGGGGAGGGGGACCCCACCTTGCAGCTGTGCTTTCATACCAGAGCCACAAAACTGGGGGGCACCAGCACCACAGCAGCGTCACCAGATGGCAGCGGGTTGGCTGGGTCACGCTCCGGCAGCATCCCGGGAAGGAGGCAGTGGTCCTCCACCCACCCTGAATAAACCAAAGGAGTTTTTGAGGAGAGGTCAAGCTGCTGGAGACCCTTCTTTCAAAACCAGACCGATCTGCTCAAGCCTGCTGGCAGGACTCATCGCTCGGCTGTGCCGCTGGCTGAGTGTTTACCATTCCGATTAATGTTCTTGGCTCTCTGGCTTGGACTTGGTGGTGTTTTTACTGCTGACACCTGGCAATTGTACATGGCTATTTTTGCTGTCAGTCGAGGACTGGCAGAAGAGTTACGTGTGGTACAAAAATCAGCGGTATTTTACACGGCAACGTGAGGAAGTGTTAGCAAACGGGGGGAAAGAAATCCAGGTTTTACCTTGCCACATCAGCAATCTGCTCACGGCGCGTGTAGAGCACAGGATCAGCACACGGGGAGCAACGCACGCCCTTCCCTTCAACAATAACGTGCAGAGAATTGAAGTATAGCCAAAGGTGTAAAAAGCATGCAGTGCCACTCAAAAATCATGACAAATGATGAAAAGAAAGTTTGGTAGTTAGTATAAAGTCCTTGGGTGTACAACTGACGGGTCATACACTGCAACTTCCAGGGAAAGCACTGAGCCACAGCGGTGTCTGAGCCAACTCTCCTGCAGTGCTGAGTTTCTGAGTTCTTATTCCATGCCAACATTTATAACAAAAACAATTTTTTCCTCAAAGATCATCAGATCTGTTGTTATTAGTTATGTAGCAAGCGTCAGCATTCGTGCAGGATGGTCCAGAGCCCGCGAGTCAGAAGTGCCCATCCACGACTGCAGCTATGTGTGCACCTCCTGACCCACGCGTGTCCGTGTCTGGGACCACCTGGTTGTGGTCCCAAGGGTTTTACATACAGACGATGTCACGCAGAGCCCTGTTCCCGGCCGCTGTTGGTGGTGGCTTTCGTACCCGGCTCTATGACGGTGCCACCCATCGCTCCATCTCGCCCAGACCTCCTCCTCCAAGAAGGAACCCCCAGGAAGCCATCACGACCTGGCCCCCAAACACAGACCACAGATCACGGGTGTCCCTGGGCACCGCAACAGCCGACCTTCAACATATTC